GAGCCCTGCTCCCCTACCCCAAACCAAGCCCTGCCGTATTGGGGGACAGCATCGCAGCCCCCCACCCCGGCACCCCCATCCCATTGCCTCCATCCCCACAGCCTCGGGGGCCTGCGGGACAGGCTGGGGGCGGCAGGGGGCGCCGGCTGGCCCGGCAGGGCACGGTCAATGTCCACTACATGATTGTCAACGAGAAGGCACCGCTCTCCCGTGCCATGTTCAGGGAGCTGGAGCGCCAGGCCCCCCCGGGCATCCCCGTCTTCCAGCCAGAGCCAGAGGACCCCGATGTCTGGCAGGTCCTTGGGGGTGACAAGGACGACTTCCTTGTCTACGACCGGTGAGCGTCCCCCATCTTAGCTGGGGCTTTCCTGATTATGGGGTGCTTGGTGGGTTTCCAAAAGCTCCCCCCATGGCTGGGCTGGGGAGAGCCTTGAGCTGGGCCATGGCATGTCCCTGCAGGTGCGGCCGCCTGGCTTTCCACATCCAGCTGCCCTACAGCTTCCTCCACTTCCCCTACGTGGAGTCGGCCATCCGCTTCACCCACAGCAAGGACTTCTGCGGCAACTGCTCGCTCTACCCCAACACCACCCAGGAGGTAAGGAGCAGGGATGCTCGCTGGAGCCGGGCTCCCTTCTTTCCTCTGGCATTGCACGTCAACCTTATCTTCGTGTCAGGGACAGCTCCGGGTTGGCAGCCGCGCTCAGCCATGCTTGACAGGGAAGGTGATGAAAGATCTGGAATAAGGGCACTTAAACAGGTCAGAGCTTTCAAGTGGAGAAGGAGTGGACTAATGGGGTCATAGCCCAGGTCTAGAAGAGCTAACTAGGGTTGTGGCTGTTCTGATGTAAGAAAGGGGCAGGCAGTGGGCCAGAGGTGGCACGCTCAGAGCAAAGGAAAGGACGTAACTCGGGGCTCAGCAGGTGATTAGTCACTTCCTAGGAAAAAATACGTCTGGAAATTTTAAATGCAAAGTCCCTTTCCTGGCTCAGGAATTCCCTGGACCACAGGATGTAGGTACAGAGGCTTGTGCTCTGTGTGCTCCAGCATCTGCTGTCCCCCCTGGGTCAGGGCTGGAGAGCCTTTGCTCTGACACAGGCAACCTTCGGTATGAAGGATCCTCATCTGCTTTCACCCCAGCTCAGAGTCGAGCTCACAGGCTCACTGCAGGGCTCTGTGTGCATTCACACACCACACCAGCCCTTGTGTTGCTTTCCTCAGGCTAACAGCACCACAGAGGCCCCTGTAACCCTGAGCCCACTCCCCAAACAAGAGAGGAAGGAGACAGAAACCCCCATCCACCAGCACAACCCCGTCCATCCTCACCACCACCACGAGGTCAGCAGCGAGAAAGCCACAGACCCAACTGGGGACCATGAACGTGCAACCCATGCTCACCACCGCTACGGAGACCATGGCCAGCCCCATGACGAGGAGAAGCAGCAGAAGGAGCGAAATAAGCACTAAGCCAGGCTGGGCAGCCTCGCAGAACCCAGTAGTGTGCAGACCATGCCAACTTGCTTCCCAGAGGCACAAAAGGACTTGCTTTGGGCTGTTGGTCAGCAGCAGCATTGGTGTAACAACCCCTTCTAACATCCCCCATGTAGGCTGCACTCCCAACCCTGTCACCAGGGATTAAAATCCCCCTCAGACCCTGTGAGGTGCTGGATTTTCAGCCCCAGGGCTCGGTTCTGAGCCTTCCTCCACCGCTGCTGTCTGCCTTCCCGTGCTCCATGAAGCCTGCCGTGCAAACCGGGACGTCCCGCTCACTGCTGGCCGACACTGCACGGGGCAGCAGGGCAGAGGTGGAGGGGCCAGAGCTGGGGTGGGAGCAGCACTGCTGCCATGCTTTGCTCATCCCGGCACCCCTGGGTGTCCTGGAGCAAGGGGAGGAACGGAGTGTGCCTCGCAGGATGTGATCCCAGGGTTTGGGAGCACTGGGAGCGATGGGAGGTCGCAGTACCCATGGTCTAAACCCGGTACCCCCGTAGCTGTCACATTCTGGGGACCCCCCAAGCCTTGCTCACGGGTATGTGCAGTGGTGGCGGGTGGCCGCAAGATGGTGGCCTTGTTCCTTGGAGACTTAGGGGACCTAGTTGTATCCAGGACCCACAGCCCTGGGAGGACGGGGTGAGGATGCTGGGGTCTCTCCTGGGGGAGATCGGAGGGTGATGTGGATATCCAGAGTATGAATAAAGCCTCTGTGAAGCAAACCCTGCTCCGCCTGGCCTTTGGTGGGACTCCTTCTCCAGAGAGGGTAGGAGGCTCACACAGCACAGGGTGGTCCTGGGCTTTTTGGTGGGCACAGGGGGGACTTGGGGCTGGATGTGGACCCCATGGAGCAGCAGCTGGCAGTGATTTGTATTCTCTTGTGCAGAGGTAAAGGGGTTGAAGACTAAAGAGACCCCATCTCTTCATACCTACTAGTTACCTCTTCCTGCCAGGATGTGTGCCCAGGGCATTAACCTGCACTGCCAGGAGGAAGTTTGGCTGGGCTCCTCAATCCCTGGCTTGTAGGTGTGATGTTGGGGTGCCTGCCCTGTGCCGCTGTTGTGGGGCCAAAGTTCCCACACACAGTTGTCTTGGGCATCTTGTCCGCAGTGCCCAGACCAGTCCCCATTGTGAGCATATTGTGGGGCTCCCCAGTCCTGAAGTTGGGTGCTGCACCCCTGGTAGGCACCGTGGGCTGCCCTCATGCCTTCACTCCAGCCCCATAGCACTTCACTCCAGCCCCATCCATTATCCTACACAGCCCCATAGCACTTCACTCCAGCTCCATCCATCATCCCACACAGCTCCACTTATGCCTGCTGTGAACTCTCCATGTCCCTGGACCCCCCAGCCTGAGCAGGGAGCAAAGAGAGATCTTTTCTGCCCAGTGTTGTGCGGTGCCATGTGTGGTGTGTGTACTGCTGCTGATGCTCTGAGCTGGGTTTCTGCACCCCTCCACCCTGTCTCTGTGAGGGATGCTCAGCCCAGTGGCTGTGTCAAGAGCCAGGGTGAAGGGGAGCTGTTCCTCATGGGAATGAGGGCAAGGGGATCAGGTTGGTCTTTCTCACCAGCCCAGGGGAGCCAACCAGGCTCTCCCATGGGGTGCTGGCTGAGCCCCTGCTCCCCCTCCTCCATCTCTCTTTCTTCCTCCTTCCTCCTCCTCCTCCCCCTTCCTCTTCTACCTGCTCCAGCAGCCCACAAGGGCACCTCTGTCTGCTGCTCCTGCCATCAATATTGAGGTTATCTTTTTCTTCTGGCAGCTGCTGTAATTGAAACAAAGCAGGCCGGGCCTCACGGGCTCCGCTGCTCTCACTCATTTTGCTGGTGCTGCTGAGACAACTAATTCATCTTATCAATGCATGGTTGGCCTCTTTTCCACCAGATCCAGGCAGAGCCCTCTCCCTTCCATGGCTGGTGGGAGCAGTCTGTGTCCCTAATGGGTGCTGCTCAGACCCATCAGGTCCTTGGCTTGCAGCAGCTGGGTGCTGGCCACCAGCAGGATATGCCACAGGAGCCAGGGGGGAGAGATGTGCACTGGAATGATGCTGATGACTTTTATCTCTTTCTTTTGCTTTCTGATGCTTCCTCAGCCCTTTTGTTAAATTCCACATCCTTTTCTTGCACAGCTCCTAAAGGTGTTCCTGTCAAGGAGGTCACAGATGATGACTGGGACATGCACAGATTTGCATTCCCTTGCTGATGACCAGATCTCCAATTAGCAGTGGCAGACAGAGGGATCAGGTCTGGTGCTGGGTGGGCAGTCCAGTGGCACTGTGCTGTACTTGGCTACCTCCAGGCAGATAAGTTTCCAGCCCTGAAGGCTTGGACTGGTATTTTGCTTTAGGTATTGAAACTGAAGCTTGTGAAAGAGCTGTGTTTTGGTGAAGTCCTAGATGTCTGAGTAATGGGAAGTGTTTAGGGTAAAACTGTTGCTGCTCCATATATTATTGTCCATAGGCCTGAAGGGTTTGTGGGTGCTGTGTTTGGGGCCCCTGTGGCATGACTCTCCCCTGAAAGGAGACCTGGAGCTCTGCAAAACCTGTGTCGGTGTCTGCACTCCTGCAGGTCTTCGTTCTGAGCAGAGTGGAGGAAAAGTATTTTGGGGGCATTAACAGGCTCTTCACGTTGCTTATGTCTTAGGGAGTGGTGCTGTTAGTAGGAGCCAGGGAGCCCCAAGAAGTGCTCAGCAAGGGGGGTCCAGGGCAGGAAACTAGGGCTGACTTCAGGTCCTGGCAGTGCTTTGCCATGGTAACCTAGTGCCTGAGGTTGTGCCACCACCCCAGAGGAGGATGCACTGTGGTACCCATGTGTCCATGGATGTACCATCACCCCGGAGGAGGATGCACTGTGGTACCCATGTGTCCATGGATGTACCATCACCCCGGAGGAGGATGCACTGTGGTACCCATGTGTTCATGGATGTACCATCACCCAGAGGAAGATGCACTGTGATACCCTTCTGTCCATGGATGTACCATCACCCTGGAGGAGGATGCACTGTGGTACCCATGTGTTCATGGATGTACCATCACCCAGAGGAAGATGCACTGTGATACCCTTCTGTCCATGGATGTACCATCACCCTGGAGGAGGATGCACTGTGGTACCCATGTGTCCATGGATGTACCATCACCCAGAGGAAGATGCACTGTGATACCCTTCTGTCCATGGATGTACCATCACCCCGGAGGAAGATGCGCTGTGCTACCCTGGTACCCTATGCCACCACTGCAGAAGAAAACAGATCCCAGTTCCACATCACATGCAGCCTTGGCCCTGTGTGCTGCTCCTGCCGAGGGCCAGGCAGATCCTCTTGGGAGAGAAGGGAACAGCCAGTTCTAATGTCAACAGAGGCCTCTTGTACAGTGATGCTGTGTCAAGAAGAGGAATGGGTCCCTCCTCCTCCGCCCATTCATCTGGCAGCAGGGCTGGCGTGCCGCCAATCCAGGCTGCTTTGGAAACATCTCATTGAGGAGGCAGCTGAGCCTAGGAAAACAGAATGAAAATACACAGAGAGATCACTGTTGTTAGGCAAAATACATGCAAGTGGCTGCATTTCTGTCCCCCGAGTCCAGCCCAGCCGGGCCCCTCTTGCTTCTGTGGGGGGAGGGTGAATGCTGCTGCCTGGGGATGGCAGCCCTGGATCTCCATCATGGGTTAGGAGCTGGGAAATGAGGGCTGGAGAGATCATCTCCAGCTTTGGCCAACTTGCTGATGTCCCTGGTGAGTAGTTCCAGACTCATCTCAGAGTGGCGTCACCCGAGGAGATGGGACAGAGCAGAGAAACAGCTGCAGGAATGAGCCAGCCCCAGTGACTTGTGTCCCCTGCGTGTGTGGCCACCAGTGCTGGAGGCTGGTGAAGACAGGGCTGAGGAAGTGCGTCAGGTATTGGCCTCGTTCACTGCCATCTCCCTCCCAGCATCAGTCATGGGTCCTGGCTGGCCATGAGGCCACCAGCGGGACAGAGCTCATTCCCTAGGTTTTCAAAGCCCCATTGCTTGGCATGTCCCATCTTTTTCCTGCTGGCAGAAGCAGTCCCCAGGGACAGAGGGTGGAGGCACCTCTCTGACTTTTGAGCCAAGGTGTATTCAAAAGGTTTGCTTCTCCTGTTGTAACCTCTCTCCCACCTCGAAGGCCTCCAAGTCTCTGCCCAGCCATTTTCTGACCTACAAGGAGACCCATTCCAGCTCATTTTCTCCTTTCTGATGTGTCCAGAGTGTTTGGGGGGGGCAGAGCTGGGGCCCTAGCCCCATGATATATCAAGGCTCTCATCCCCCCGTAGGTGCTCTCAGTGCCTCCCTGGTGCAGCTTTTTGTGGCTTCACCTCTTGTCTTTGTGCACCCAGCATGGTCCAGCCATCACTGTGCAAGAACAAAAGCCATTTCTCTGTGCTGCTTGTTTCTAGCCCCTACCTTTGCTCGCTGTTGATGTATGATGGCAGAGAGGGAACAGTTTGTTTCCGTTATTTATGATGTTGATCTGGGGGTTGAAAGGAGCCCAGTGTGAGCAGAAAAAGCCCAACTAGCACCCCAGGAGAGACACATCTCACCAGGCCAACATGCATAGATTTGCATCATGGAGCAGATGCCCAAGGCTGAGACTGGATCCTGCGCTGGTCCCTGTGTTCATAGGAGCTTTCCTAAGCTCTCCTCCTCTTGTCGTCCTGCCATAAAAGCAGCTAGCAAGCTACTTCTTTTTTCCTGCCGTGTGAGAGGAGATTTGCTGCGTCTCTGTCTGTCTCTCCTCAAGTCAAGTGGAGTGTGATGCTTGGTTTCCAGCTGAGCCACCACATCCTGCTCTTGTGTTGGGTGGCTTCAAGTGGCACAGCCTCGTACTGGAACTGCCAGTACCTTTGCTGAAATGTCACCGTCTGCTGCTGGCTCCTACGCACGGAGTGATGTGCAAGGACATGGTGTTTTGGAGGGGAGCTGGGATGGGTGGGCTGTCAAAGGGAAGGTCAGCGTGGTGCAACCTCC